ATCAAGATATCATCAAGGTACACAAAGACAAAACGATTAACCATGTCTCTCAACACATCATTGACCAAGGCCTGGAAGACCGCCGGGGCATTGGTCAGACCGAACGGTAAGACCCGGTACTCGAAGTGTCCCGTAGGCGTGTTAAAGGCGGTCTTCCACTCATCCCCCTCTCGTATGCGGATAAGATGGTAAGCATTCCGGAGGTCAAGTTTGGTAAAGACCTTGGCTCCCTGCAAAAGTTCAAAGGCAGAAGACATGAGAGGTAAGGGGTACCTGTTTTTAATAGTGATGTCATTGAGCCCTCGATAATCAATACAAGGACGCAGGGAGCCATCTTTCTTTTTGACAAAGAAGAACCCGGCACCCGCGGGGGAGGAAGAGGGTCGGATGAGACCGGCTTTGAGTGATTCATTGATATACCTATCCATGGCCTCTCTCTCTGGACCAGAAAGGGAAAATAACCGACCCTTGGGCGGAGAAGTGCCTGGGAGGAGTTCTATGGCACAATCATAAGGACGATGCGGAGGCAGGGAAGTGGCCCGAGACTTGCTGAACACCCGGCGCAGGTCAAGGTACTCCGCCGGTACCCCAGAGAGATCAGCTGCCTCCACCTGTAAGACAGGACACACAGACACAGGAAAAGCAGCAGGACCCAAACACGAAGCAAGACAATGCTGACTCCAAGACAAAACTGAATTACTCGACCAATCTACATGAGGGCCATGCTGCACCAGCCATGGATGCCCCAAAACTATGGGGGCACTAGGCGAATCTAGGAGAAGCAGCGTGGTAACCTCATGGTGATTGCCCGAGACAATGAGATGGAGGGGAGGGGTGGTATGGGATACAGTGGTGATAAGGGTGCCATTAAGAGAGCGAGCAGGGATAGGATTGGAAAGAGGGAGTGCAGGGATTCCCCACAAGGTAGCTAAAGAGCTATCCATAAAATTACCTTCGGCCCCGGAATCGACCAAGTCCAAGGCAGAATTAAAAGAGTCACCAAACTGGACAGATACAGGGAGAACAGTACGAGAGGAGGGGGAATTCAATAAAGGGGTAGCGCTCACCAGGATCCCCCTCTTTACTGGCGAGCCGCGGCTTTTAACGGACAGGCCACTGCAAAGTGCCCTGGCTTGCCGCAGTAGAAGCACAGGCCCTGGATAAGGCGCTGTTGTTTCTGTTGGGGAGTCAGCCGAAGACGCCCCACCTGCATGGGCTCTGAACCCAAGGAGGTGGCATTAGCAGCCTCAGGAACAGCAGAGGAAGTGTCCTCCATCCTCCAGGGTGGGCGGAAGACTGGACGTTGACGACGGCGGCGCAGACGTCCTTCTACCCGTAGGGCCATACTAATGAGATCATCAAAATCTTGGGGAAGGTCGATGGTGGCCAACTCGTCCTGGATTTCCTCTTCAAGCCCCGCTCGAAACATGGACATGCAGGCCCCTTGATTCCAGTCGCAGGAAGCCGCCAAGGTCTTAAACTGGATGGCATACTCGGTGACTGACCGGCCTGCCTGGCGTAACCGAGCCAACTGGTCCGCTGCCTCCTGCCCCTGAGCAGATCTATCGAACAACCTCACCATCTCTTGTCTGAAGTCTTCGAACGATGCACAACAGGGAGCTTGGGTTTCCCAGACTGATGTTCCCCAATCACGGGCCTTGCCTGCGAGCAGCGTCAGAACGTATGCCACCTTGGTTCTTTCAGCAGCGTAGGTGTGTGGCTGTAAGGCAAACACCACAGAGCATTGAGAGAGGAAGGCTCTACATGAATTGGGGTCCCCATCGTAAGGTGGTGGGTTGTTGCATCGGGGTTCACGTGTATGCTGAGGGCCAGGATCCGCTTGCCCCCCCTGGGCTGTGTCGTGCTGCAACTCACGGATCCGTGCGGTTAAGTCAGCTACCTGGTTGGCCAAGTACTCCATCTCCCTGGTGGTGTTGGTCAACCTTGCCTCATGCTGCCCTAGCAGCACACCCTGCTGGGTGACTGCAGTAATGACTGGATCCGAACCTGCTGCGTCCATTTCGGGCTAGATTGTTCTGTCAGGGAACACAGGCGGACACAAGTGCAGGTTAAGAGTTTTTATTCTTGATCAAAAAATTACCCTAAAAGGGTGCAAATCAAATCCAACTGGGCGTTTGCAGAAAAAATAGGAGAAAAACAAAAACAAAAAAACTGCATAAAAAAAAACTCCCAGAAGAGGGCGCTGTTAAGTCCTTGACAACAGAGACCGGGTCCTGTCAACAAATAAATCCAAAAGGGGGCGCCCAGTTCACAATCTTCAAAAAAGAGAAAGCAAAAGACAGCCGGGGTGATCCAAAAATAAATGCAAACAATAGCGTCTATGATACTGTTACCCAGCAGGGGGCGTGCTGGTACGTTGCCGTGAGGGGAATGCGGAAGTGGAGCGTGAGCGAGGGAGAGGAAGCCGGCAGTCAGTTGAAGCCGATGGGCTCCGAGAGGTTGAAGCAGTCCGGCCTGGGAACAGAGGAGGTTAAGGAGAGGAAAAGTGCAAGAAGATGGTTCTGGCGTGGAGCAGCACAACAAGACAGAGTTGGAAAGGACAGGAGAGCCACGACAGGAGACAAGACGAGACCAGACGCGAGCGGCTCGGCGTGGGCGCGCTCGCAAAACAACAATCTAGCACTGGACTACACACAAGGAGGGGAATAAATAGGACACGAGAGGAATCACTGATAGGGTGCAGGTGAGTGAAAATCAATCTTAATAGATGGTAAATAGGGTAACGAGAGGGAGGAGAGATACGGGGGAGCGATCAAAATAAACATTCACGTGCGCTCACCAGAAGTAAACAGAAATGGGGAACAGACAGCATGATCAGACTGAGGATGTGACACCCATATTGAAACATCCTGACCCCAACTCACCATCCAATTTGGAGGTTGATACCTCAGATCTAGGAATCAGAGCAGTACTGTCACAGAGGCATGGAACACCAGGTAAAGTGCACCCATGTGCGTTCTTTTCTAAAAAGCTAACCACAGCAGAGCACAACTATGGTGTGGGCAATAAGGAGCTACTTTCAATGAAGAAGGCTATTTCAGAATAGAGACACTGGCTAGAGGGAGCCATTTATCTATTCTAAGTCATCACAGACCATAAAAATCTGGAGTATATTAAAAGTGCAAAACGCGTAAACCCCAGACAAGCCCGATGGGCCCTGTTCTTTACCAGGTTCCAGTTCACAGTCACGTATAGACCAGGAAGTAAAAACTGCAAAGCAGATGATCTCTCTTGCCATCATGACTCTCCCACAGATAATAACAACACCCACAAATCCATACTTCCCCTGTTGTGGTATTCCCTCTGGTGTCATGGGACATAATGGAGGAAATTCAATGGGAACAACAATATGAAGTTCCACCCCCACAACATCCATCCAACAAGCACTACATACCAGCTAACTTACATGAACAAGTCATGCAATGGGTCCATACGTCCATATATGCAGGTCATCCAGGTATTTCACGAACAATCCATATAGTGCAGAATTCATTCTGGTGGCCATTGATGAGTAAAGATATAACCAATTACGTCAAGTCATGCCAAGTCTGGGCCCAGTCGAAAACAACCAAAGAATTACCGTCAGGTCTCCTCAAACCGTTACCTATTCAACAGCGACCCTGATCTGTCCATAGATTTTATCACTGACCTACCTCCATTAAGTAACTCCACTTCACTATTCAAGTAATCATCGATTGTTTCTTTAAGTGATGCCATCTGGTCCCCTTACCAAGTTTACCCAGAAACATGGAAACTGCTCAAGCCTTGTCCCAGCATATATTTAGAGCCTATGGATTACCAGAATATATGGTCAGTGATAGGGGCACGCAATTCAACTCACAGGTTTGGAGAGCCTTCTGCCAGCAGCTGGACATAAATGTGAGACTTACGTCTGGATATCATCCCAATGCTAATGGACTAGTCGAACGTCTTAACCAGGAAATAGGCAGATATCTCAGCACTTACTGCAGTAGGGAACAACATCGTTGGTTTAAGTTCTTACCATGGGCTGAATACGCACAGAACTCATTAACTCACTCCTCAAACATACTTACCCCCTTCCAGTGAGTCTTAGAATTCCAGCCTCCATTGTTCCCATGGTCTGGTGAGCTTTCTGCAGTTCCAGGAGTCAATGAATGGATTTGGCTTAGTGAGAGCATGTGGGACAGTGCTCATGTCCGTCTCCAATGGGCTGTGAGAACACAGGAGTTCCAGGCCAACCGATAACATTGTCCACAACCCTCCCTACTAACCAGAACAGCGGGTCTGGGTCTCTACATAGGACATCAAGCTATGGCTAACCAGCAAAAAGCTTAGTCCAAGGTATATTGGTCCTTTTAAGATTTTAAAGAGAATTAATCAGGTGACTTAGCAGTTAGAGCTCTCTGCTAACTACCGTATATTTCCTTCGTTCCATGTATTCCTGCTCAAACCGCCCATGTGTATATCGAATGGTTTGGACTGCTTACATGTTGCCGACTCTCTGCCTGTTTACACGTTCATTTCTCTGAGTAAGACCCTTAATAAACATCCACATATGGATTCTCTCACTGTCTTAGCTTCCTCGATACACTAGACCAGTGGTTCCTAAATCAGATGTTGACACGGGTGCTTACAGTTTTCTGTCAAATTTATTTTTCATTATTTTTTGTGTCCTTAAGAACAAGTAATAAATAAAACAGTGGGTGTTTTACTGTGTTTGAATACAGTGGACAGCAGATTCACAAACACATTCAAATTATCCACACTCTACTGCTCAGACATTTTTCTACATAGGTATTTTAATCATGATTTAATTATCAATCTGTTTAATATTCAAATTAAATGCAAAGAATAACAATGTTGTATGTGACTCTTAAAATAGTTTTAAAATGGTTTTGTTTGATTATTAAGATATATATATATATATATATATATATATATATTTATATATATATATATACATATTAGTCATCTATTATAAAGCCCATATTACTTACGTTTCTCCTTTTCTTCTCGTTCTCTCTTTATTTTGTCACGCATCTCCCTCTCTTTCTTCTCTTTCAATAGTTTTTTGTTTTGTTCTTCTCTTTCCATTTGTTCTCTTTTTTTCCACATTTCCTTTGTTTCATGTCTAAACGTCATCGTTTCTCGTCTTATCTTTTGCATCTTTCTCTCTTTCTCCTGATTCTGTTGTTCTTCCTCCATCATCATTTTCATTCTCTTTTTCTCTTCTTCTAGTTTCTTCATCTCTCCTTCTGTTTCTCTGACTCTGTCCATCAGGATCTGTTGTTCTTTATCCAGGGAATTAATTTTCTTCTTCATCTCTTCGTATTTCACCAGTTTTTCCATTAGCGCCTCCAGGAATGTCTCTGTGGAGTAAACACCTCCTCTGTTTTCCTCCAGCATCTGCTCAATGTTCTCCATCAATGTGGACACTTGTGTTTCAGGACTGAAGTGATGATGTCTTCCTCCAAAACTCTGAATGACAGCCTGTGTTTCTTCATTGAGTTCTGCTGTCTGATGCTCTGAGTTCTGCATGATGAGGATCATGATGTGTTTGTTGATTCTGGAGCTGAAGATCTTCTGGATCTCCTCCATTTCTGCTTTATCTTCATCAGTCAGTGGAGCATCAGGAATAATGAGGAGGAAAGCATGAACTCCAGGATGACAGAGAGACACACAGCGGAGAGTCTGACGCATCCTATCCTCCTCTGAGAGCTCAGTGTTGAACAGAGCTGGAAGCTCCAGCACATTGATCACGTCTGTCCTCACACTCTCTGATCTTCTGTGTGTGTGTTGCAGGATCAGCTCTGAGATGGAGGATTTCAGTGAGCCGTCGCTCCCGCACACCAACACATTCAGCTTCTCAGAGTCTGAAAGAGAAGAAGAAGATTAAACACCCTTCATCCAGCAGCAGACACATCAGATATGCTCTCACTCACGTGTCTGTGTGTCCCGTTTCTCCACTGTGAAACACTGTGAGTCTCCAGAAATCAGGTGTCGTCCCTCATTGCTCCGCTCGATGTCCTCAAAGGCCTGCAGAAGATGATCAGCAGAGCTGCTTGTCTGAAGACTGACGTGTCTGTTGGAGCACTTCTGGATGATCTTCTGCAGGATCTGATTGGGTTCAGTGGGCTCTTGTGTGCTGAGCACCAGGGTGTGTTGAAGAAGGCGCTCAGAGAAAGAGTCCTGCAGCTTCTCCACACGCTCTTGATCTTCTGCTGAACACTGCTGATGTTGGAGGAGCAGAAGCACCACATGAGGTCCTGGATCAGACAGACTCACGCACTCTCTGACCGTCTGTGTGATCTGATCATCTGAGATGTGTGTGTGGAGCAGCTGAGGACTGTTGATGAGCGTCACGTGTCTGTGCTTCAGTCTTCCTCCGACTCTCTCCACAACATCTGGAGGAGCTTCACTGTCAAACGCTGATCGACCCAAGATCAAGTTCCCCACACGGCTGTTCTCAGACACACTTTTACCCAGGAGAAGAATCCTCAGAGGAGAAGTAAAGCTCACTGAAACACAACAAGAGTCAAATTTATCATTATGACTCAAACATCACCAGTGTTGAGGAAAATTACTTTTAAATGTAATCCATTTGGAGGCAACGCAGTGGTGGAATGGGTAGTGCTGGGTGGTCGCTGCTTCGAGCATCGGCTGGGTCAATTAGAGTTTCTGTGTGGAGTTTGCATGTTCTCCCTGTGTTGGAGTGGGTTTCCTCCAGGTGCTCTGGTTTCCCCCACAAGTCCAAACACCTCAGCACTTACTCTCAGCACTATTTTTCAAGTTATTTACTCACATTAATGCTTGGGGCACATCCGCAGGTGCTGACCCAGATGCTGGCGTTCTCGTGTCTGTATGAATTTGTTAGTTTTAAATAGTTTTATGCCATTTTTATTGTAGTTGCCTGGAAATATCCTGTTTACACTTTTACCCTGTCAGGAAAGTTTAGTGGGTGGGAATGACCTTTTTACAGTGTCTGCTATAAAGTTAATGTTGTTTTTGGTGTGTTTACATAGATGAATATGGCCACCGTGTAAATGCGCAGTATACTTACGATCTTATTGACACATTAGATTATTATGGTATCATAATATATGCCTTCAGTAATGTCCTGAAGATAAATACCAAGAAACAAAGCAACTGGAATCACTACAGCAGTCACCATCGTCTGATCTCATATGCAGCAAGAGATCGGGATGACATAGGATGACGTGTGAAGGTGCTGTAATGCTGTCCCATTTGTTAGGGGTATAATTTGAAGCTGTTCCCCTTCACACTCGGTTTTAAGGGCCAAGGGGAAGGGGTAGGGATACAAAAATAGAATTGGGATTGGGCCTAAGCTTGTGATAAACTTGGGATCTTTATAAACAGCCAGTGTATTTGCCATCAGATATAGATATCACTACAGTTCCATACCAACCCAGGTTCATTCTGAAATCCTAGTCCTGTGGACATTTCTGGAGACCGCGAAATACATCCTGAGAGGTGCGTTTTTTTCAGTTTTTATTTTTGCGAATCCATGAGAGGCGGCTGTGCGCTTTTTCATATCTCAAATGTCTTTGTTCGCGGTTTTCTCGCGTGAACCCATCAGAGGCCGCTGTCAACCGACCATCTGTCTGACTGACTGAATGATTGACTGGCCAATCGGCTGACCCACCCTCCTCCTTCCCTAAACCCAACCAATTTTGCAGATTGACCCACCCACATACTTACTTCCCTAAAACCAACCAACGATTAACAAAAGCCATCTAGAAAAAGAAAAGCCCTTGTCTGATTTTTACCACGTTTTCGGATTTAACCACATTCTCACCCTGTAATGAACTTGTTCACTTCATTTTTTGGATTTTTATTTTCTGGAACCACTCTTCCGGTCGTCAAAGTCATGATCTACTCCTCTCTGTATCTCAAGTCTGCCAACGTACATGACGAGAAAACTAGACAAACTGGTTTCAGCGGGAAAGCCCTCCACATGGAGGTAAGTAGTCAGCTGGTAAGCGTGAAAAGGTATGGCGTCAAATCGCCGCTTTGCGTTCGCTTAAAAACAGAAATACGGCCATTAAACCTCTACTCCTTTTCAAAGGACATCCTGGGATTTTTAACGACCACAGAGAGTCTGGTCCTCAGTTTATCATCTCATCCAAAAGATGGCACTCACTGAGCAGTATAGAGTCCCCGTCGCTATACTGGGGCATTAGGACCCACACAGACTACAGGTTGGGCACCCCTTGCTGGCCTCACTAACACCACTTCCGGCAGGAACCTAGCTTTCCCATGTGGTCTCCCATCCAGGTACTGACCGGGCGCAGCCCTGCTTAGCTTCAGTGGGCGACCATGTGAGAGTTGCAGATAGCTAGCTGCCAGCAACAACAGTACTACTCTTCTAAACAAAGCATTGCATTTTTCTCTATGTTCAGGTCTGCCCCTAGGGAGTCTTCACCTGGCTAATGCCACCTGCTGGACACTCATTGCATCACTGTAAGTATACAAATACTATACATGCACTAGATTAATTATTAAGCATAAATGAAACAATTGTTAAACAGACATTTACAATAAAAACATCCTTGGGGTGTTAGCTTTCTATACACAATCCACAAATATTGTACAAAATTCCCCCTATCGCGCATGAGCAAGAGAGACTTCTCTAGACAGGCTTGGCGCATGTGCGTTTATTCAGTTCAGCCGTACCCTGCTGAGTATGACAGCACGGAGACTCCGCTACTCTGTTTATACTGCTTAAAAAATCTATCCTTGTTGTGTGGTATCACTGTGCGCATATAAAACTGTAAGTGATTAACGTTCTTATCATTCTAGAAGTATTTATAATGTGTCTGGTATAATCTGGTCTAATTTACCTCAGAAAATCTAGACCCAGTGTACAATCGCGACAGTGCCCGATAGTTTAATTATTTATTTAATTGTTATCATACGTCCGTTTACTTTCCCTACTTTTAACAGTTTCAGTTTCAATGACGATATTAAGTTTGTTTCATATTGTCATATGAATAGCTATCATGCGGAGCGCACGTGATAGTCACACAGGCGCATGCACAAAGTGTAATCTGACACCATTAATCAGTGCCTATAGCAGCTGAGCTACTCTTTCGAGTTATATTGCATGTACTCCATATATGTATCAGTAAAGATTGTTTAAGTGATTGAATATTGTTTATAATTTTGTATATTTGTCACTTTATACCTTTTATGTATATTTACAATTGATTCCTAGTCTTTGACAGAAACCGCACCATATAATCACACAAAAGTGAATGTCGTCATAAAGAAATAAAGGAAATTGGACATGTTCATTCTGGAGTAGCTACAGTTCTTTCTAACAGAGGATTTAGACCAGTTGGGTTTTAACCACACAATAGCGTACAGAATATCCCACAAATATGTTCTATTTATCTATCTTCAGCTACAGATACAAGCTTGTTTTTGAGAGACCAAAAATATAATTGTGACATGCTGCTTATCAATTTTTAAACTTACTTGTGGGTAACTGATCTTTGCTCTGACTTCTCTTGTAAGCAGAACCAGCAACAACGGCTATAAAACATTAGATTAAAAAAAACATGTTAGAAAAGATCAGCACAGGAGTGTTACTACAGGACATATTTTATAACAGTGAAAAAAGTAAACGTGTAGTGAGCATTATTGCTCAAACCATTTAAAGCCATTTCATAGTGGATAATTCTAACATCTTTATTTAAAAAGCCACATCTTCATCTTTAGTAGCTGTTTTCTTTTGGTTCGCACATGCGGTGGTGGGTAGTTTTTGACTTTAGGAAACAGCCGGTTTGGATGAATAAACTCTGACCTCTGCTCTCTCTGCCGGACATGTTGATCTTCTGCTTTTTCTTCAGTCCATCGTCTTTCTCTTTAACTCCTGATGTTTATCACCCTGTCGGAGATTACACAGATTATACTATGCAAGTTATAGCCTATTGATTTGTAACTTTTTAATACTCTGTTAATCAAATATATTACAAATGTTTGAGTGTTGGTGTAGTCTATCTGAACATCTATTTAAACTTATTTAGCCTGTACATATGCGGTTTAGTGATTAAATCAAATAAGCCTATTTATAGCAAAGTGAACATGTTTAATGAAAAGAGCACAACAAAGTTCAACAGGAGCTATAAAAGCTTTACTTTAACATTTCTTTAAAGCAAGCTGACACTGCACATTCAGATAATAGTTCATAGAATACATTCAATGTTTTGTTTTTGGTTATCAAACACACCTGAAAATAAAACTACACAAATGTGCAGCTTGATTACAACTACACACTGAATACATCCAAAATAAACAATTCTTCCGAGCATCGCAGTTACATATGTACAGTATATTTACATATTTTACATAATGATTGAATTTAAAACAAACATCATACCGTGTGTGTTGAAGATTCTTTTCCTTCTTGAAAACTGGAAAAACCTGTATTTTGGAAGAGCTTTTGTGACGCCACAAGACATTCTTTACCTGTGCCTCTGTTTTCTTCTTTTTATGCTATTTTAATGGCGGGTAACACTAACTCTTAGGCCAGGGGTTTTCAAACTGTGGGGCGCACCCCAAAAGGGGGCACAAGACATTGAGGGGTGCGCTCGAGTAAATTATGATGACGATTTTCATGCGTTCACTAGAGTGAATCTGATTAGTGTTAGCTACACATCTAACTCTCAGTGACCTGTAGAGTTTATGCGTTCCAGTAAAATATACATAAATAAAATGGAGCGGGTGCTTTTTAAAATGAATGACAGTGAATGAAAGTCAAACCGTTGAGCCGTCTGACAAAAAACATGAAACCCCCCGTTTCAGCAGGGCGTTTTCACACCTCTAGTTTGGAAAAAGTCAAGAAAGTGGGTGTGTCTTCAGGTACAAACAGTCTTGGAAGCTGTCATGCAAGTTGCATCGCATACAAAACAGAGCGTCCTGATTGGTTTGTACCAAGTCTTAGGGCTCTATTTTGACGATTCAAATCGCAGGGCGCAAACGCTTTCAGGGCGTGTCAGAACGCATTTTTGCTAATTTAAGGACGGGAAAATCCGCTTTGCGCCGTGGTGCATGGGCTAAAAGGGTTGAGTTTATTTTCTTAATGAGTTATAGGTGTGTTTTGATAATAAACCAATTAGAGTCTCATCTCCCATTCCCTGTAGGAGCCAGCTGCGTCACGCCAAGAGCGCATTCGCTATTTACAGGACGCAAAGTAAGTCTAAGTGGAAAAAATGAGCATTTCACAAGCAAACAGTTAACAGAAAACAGTTTTTAACAGAAAACTGTTAAACAGAGCATCTACTGCGTGAGAATGAGAGATAATGGATCTACTTTCACTTTCGCTCCTGGATAGGGAAACCTTTACGCACAGACATCAATTAGTCTATAAATAATTAATTTTGTTTGTTAAGCGCAAATATTCGTTTCAAAACTATTTCTAAATTCAGTTATAATTTCCAGCAAACGAATAAATGAACAATAATAACAAAATGTGCTCAAAAACCTGAGTTATATCCTAAAACACATGCTGTGCCCCATATGATCTAAAACCTGACAGGTGGGCAAATCTAAGCTTGTTTTTAATAAAACAAATATAAATATGGATATAATAAATAATACTGCTAATAATAATAACATTATACAAAAGCAAATTGTTATGAATGAACTGAAAAAGCCTCCCGAGATGAAGAAGACATAAAAGCAGTGATTTTTCATATTTATGTAGACTAGAAAATAATATGTTTTGTAATATTTTAATCCTTTATGTTTATATCCTATATGTATTCCTATTATATCATATATATGTCCTTAATATTTAAATGTTTTCATATGTAAAGATATTTGCCTGTTGCTCTCTTGTGTGTATTAAGCAGTGTGTAAGCGAGGCGCAACTCTGCGCCGGAGTTTAGACCGGGTTTGTTTTGGTCTAATGAAAAATCTATTATAGTTTCTCAAAATATCAACGCACCAGTGCTCCGCCTCAGAACGCCTTCCTTTTTAGAGCAGAACGCCTATGAGCGCACAAATGAGCGCTAATGCATTTGCTATTTAAACAGCGTAGCGCAACGCCTCAAAACGACTCCTGCACCAAGCTGAAACTACCAAAAGACTACTGCGCCGCGCCTTGCACCACATTGCTCCAGGTGTATGATAGGGCCCTTAATCATGAATGAATGCAGCACACTCAGAGACATAATACGGTACCCCCAGGTACAGACCACCAGTCTACACGCTGGAATACATGCTAAGATCTCATGGCCGTGACGCAGCTTCAAAAATTAGTTTCAAACCGGAAGTACGAATATGCTGGAAATAACACAAAAACAACCAATTTTCACTTTTTAGTGAAATATAGGTGTCCTAATAGTGTTTATAGCAGTGTGGGACACATATACGACTGTCAACAGCTCAACACATGTGTTTTGGTATTTCGTAGCTGCAGCTTGGCTGGAACAAGGTAAGACCACAAGCAGAGTGAAGACTGCGAGGAGGAGTAGAAATATTGCAGACGTAAGGAGCCACCCTATGCACTGCTTTATACAGTAAGTAAAAATAGAAAATAAGAAAACAAATAAATAACTGCGAATAACTGAAAAAAGCTCCTCTTTTGGCGTGTGTGTCGTAAAAGTTTGAGAACCTCTGCCTTTGGTCAGAACCGGAGTTTGTAGGCTATATTCCCAAATAAAAACTCAAGTAGAAATAGTTTTATATTCTCATTCAGATCTGTTGTCTTTTTTTCATATGTTTGTCTTGTTAAACATATAAATATATGTAAATTTGATGCTAGAACAGGGTAGAGATAGGATAGGATACAGCTGCGGATATGCACATCAATATAGCATCCTTTCTGGGACACATAACAACAGTTAATATTTTTACAGTAACTGTGACGGTTGGGTTTAGGGTTGGGGTAGACGTTAAAAAAAATTTTATTGGTTAATTTAATAACAAAGTACAGCTACTCTTTTTGCATTACTGTGATGGCTAGAACAGGGCAATATTAGATATGACAAATGGGGGATACATATTAAAAATTAAAACTAAAATGTTTTACTGCGTCAAAATGTTTTGAAACGTCTTTTTAGTATCCTGCTATAGTCGTGTTTTATAAACCATCACACATTTCCTACATTGTCTTGTTAAGAAATGTAAAGTGATTGTATTGTATAAGAAAACTGTACATGCTGGTTCTTGTTAATAAAAAAATAATAAATAAATAAAAACATTTCCTACATTGTGTCTTTTTTTACTGCTCAACGATATGCGTGTTTGTGGAACGTCAGTGCTGTGGATCGTGTTTCTCCACGGACAGTGAAGCTGCAGCACCACCGGAAAATCCCTCCACACCCGGGGGGAGTCGGTTGCTAATGGTGAGGGGACGGAGGATGGCAAGGCGGATAGACTCCAAGGCGGTTGGCAACAACTGGAATGTGAGTGGACAGGAGAATGCAGACGGAAGTGACGAATCAGGAAATGAAGTAGGAGATATGGAAGTAGGTTGCGGGAACTATGAAAAATGGGACATGGTTAAAAACAACAAACGGAAAAAGAAACGAAGAAATAAATCTGATGAAAGTGATTCGGATAGATGCTCAGCCCTAGAGGAAACTGTGACAGTGGAATACAAGGTATTTGCTAAACCTGTGCAAGAAGGGGACACATTTGGAGGTATGAATCCGATACAACTAACCAAAACACTGCATAAGGAAATAGGTATAATAAAGAGTGCAAAAATCTTGAGAAACGGATCGATACTGATTTTCTGTAAAGATGAAAAACAGCAAGCTAAAGCAATTAAGGTGAATAAAATCAATGGAAAAAAAGTAGAATGTTCCAAGACAAACGGCAAAAGATATGTTAAAGGCGTTGTGACAGGAATTCCTGTCAGTGTTTCGGCAGATGAAGTGAAAGCAAGTATAACAAATGCAAATGTGGTCGAAGCTAAACGCTTAAGAACAAACAGAAATGGAAGTGCTTGTGATAGTCTTTCTGTTATGGTCACATTTGATGAGGAGACACTCCCGAAAAAGATATTAATCGGGTATATGTGCTATGATGTAAGACTGTACATTCCCCCGCCCCTCCGGTGTTATAAATGTCAGAGATTTGGACATATAGCAGCTTTTTGCAAGGGAAAGCAAAGGTGTGGTAAATGTAGTGGGGAACACGAATATGGAAAATGTGAAGAGGGTGCAAAGTTGAAATGTTGCAACTGTGGAGGGGATCATAGCTCAGCGTATCGAGGGTGTGAGGTTAGCAAAAGGCAGGCAGAAGTACAAAGAGTAAAAGCTGTTCAAGGAATCAGCTATGCGGAAGCATTAAAAAAGGTTCCAGAAATTATGACTGTGTCTAAACAAAATGAAAACAGGAACAAAAATGCAGAGACATGTCAAAAATGTGAACAACTGAAAGCGGAAACTCTGATAGTGAGCAAAAATGATTTTGTAATATTCATGGCAGAGATAATAAATTGTTCCGCTCAAACGAAAAGTAGGAATGAAAGAATCAAAATAATAATCAAATCAGCAGAAAAATACCTGGATGTGAAGGATCTGCTCTGGGAAACGGTTAGGGACATCTTAAATGAAGATACACAATCATCCCAGCCTGGGGGAGGAACGTCTTAAATGTTAAACATTCTACAATGGAATGCAAGAAGCTTAATTACGAATGGCCAAGAATTTAAAAAATATATTGATAATATTATAGAGAAACCTAATATAATATGCATACAAGAAACATGGTTAAAACCTCAATTAGATTTTAATATTAAGGGATATAATATAGTTAGAAATGATAGGAATCATAGCAGAGGAGGAGGAATTGCAACATTTATAAAAAGCGGAATGAAGTTTAGGATAGAACAAATAAATACAAAGTATGAATCAATTTTAATCAAGGTATGGACGGATAGAGGATGTATAGACAT